ATATATATATATATATATATATATATATATATATATATATATATATATATTGATGCATGTTTCATTAAATAATATAGACAAGCTGTGTCTATTTATTTTAAGTAAGTTCCTTTCATATTGTCTGATAAGCTTAATAACATTATCATAGAAAGACGAAAGGAAATCACCATAATGATACATGTTTAAATCCGATCTAAGCTTTCGGCTGGCATAAGCAATTATCAAAGATAACAATTACATTTCAATATATCAAACACTACACGGACGAAATAATAATGATACACAATATATATATATATATATATATATATATATATATTACAATGAATAATTCATACACAAAGTAAATCATTAAAGCGATTTTGCCATTTTATATCATTTACTAATTTACTTTTTGTATGATATATTCATTGTAATATAAATTGAACTCCACCACATATTTGATATATATATATATATATATATATATATATATATATATATATATATATATATGAAAATATGAGTACTTTATCCTCAATAAAGTTTTTGCTTATGGTTTGGTTTGTCTTCCAAAAAAGATATCTGATTCGATCTGAAGAGGCGTTTTTAGGATTTCGGCCGATACTAATCGCAGACGGTTACCAATGGATAAAAAAAATATCCAACCTCGAATGGCCGTATAGGATCAGCTAGGATTAGGGGTTATTTTTGTTCAAATCGGATGTAATTTTATGGCTCTCTTTCTCTTTGCGATTTGGCTCTGTTGACGAAATCTCAGACAAATAACATTTTGATTACTTGATGTTAGAAAAAATCTTTAAAACCTTTTTTTTTTCTTCTGTCAGTTGATTTGAGAGATTGAGTCTAGATTGAATATATTTCTTCTTTCGAATTCGATTTATTGTTTTGCTACATTAAGCGGCCGGAACCCGACAGGCATAAGGCTATAATAGTAGTAACACATTGTTCTTGAAGATGGCGCTTTTTTCGGAATTTGTGACTGGCGATACAAGATCAGAAAGTAATTTTTCAAAAAATAGAAACTATCTCAAGCAACATTAACAAAAATGGTTAACATGTGTAGTGAGAAGAAAAATATTATATAATCATTCTAATGACGTTCCCTACGAGCTTAAACCTAAGCTTTGAATGGAAACTTACACCAATACAAGAAAGTACGATGAAGTTAGTGAACTTGTGAAGTCTAATTTTTTGAAAATTATTTTTTATGGAAATTCATCCTTATTATAAAACGCAGATTGTGTGTGTGTGTGTGTGTCTGTAAGTTTATATATTGGATCGGATTTCCTACATTTTTCAACCGATTTCAACAAAACTTCACAGGACTACGTAAAATTACCTTGGGGTGGTTCTGACAGCGCCAAAATTGGAAAAATACAATTGTTTTGCACGAAATCAATTTAAAAACACGATTAAGAGGCATCACGAGAACGAAAGGGGGACAACTCATATCGAGTTATACTTATTATAAAATTAATGTTGTTTGTGTGTGTTTGTTTATATATGGGATCGGATTTTCTACATTTTTCAACCGATTTCAACAAAAGTTCACTTTTTTGGGGCAGGTAGTGTTTCTTACTGTCTTGCACACTTTTTTCTTTATTTTTACATTCAGAATGCTTTAGAAATTCCATTTACAAGACAATTGTTTATAATAAAATTCTATTCGATCAGTAGACGAATGTTTTTGTTTGAGTTTGGGTTTGACCAATTCATAAAAACAAAATTAAAAAAATAAAAAATAATTAAGACATGCGTGTCCGTCAACCTTAAACAATTATCTTTGTCAATTTTATTTTTCAGTCTTTATGATGGTCGTTACTTGATCGATCTCTTACTGTTACATACCCGGGCAACGCCGGGCTCTACTGCTAGTATTTTATAAATTTCAACCGACAGTAATTCTATGTGTTCAATGTTAATTGGTTTTGTTTGTGGTATATCAACCTCTATGGGTTATTTAATGCCAAAATCTAAATATTTTAAACACAATTTTATGTCTTCAACTAGATGTATTTCATGAAGTCCGACAATTATATTAAGACATTTTTATGTTTCTACATTCTTTTTATAGATACAAATATTTAAGTAAATGCTCTGTTTTATAATAAAGTGTATTAAACAAAATTTGCCGGCTTGAATGTCCGAGAAATGTTCATAGAAAATATTTGTTCTCCGACAGGATTCGAACCTGTATCCTATACGGAACCGTTATTTAGCTTGATGTGCCTTTACCGATTTGGCCACGAAGGAGCGTTCTGTTAGCAAGGTCGAAATTACTGTATTTAAACTTCAATCGTCTATGAAAATTTCTCGGACATTCAGGCCGGTAAATGTTGTTTTATACTGTTTATTATAAAACAGAGCATTTACTTAAATATTTGTATCTATAAAAAGAATGTATAAACATAAAAAATGTCTTTAAATATGTATATTTGAACACAATTGTATGCCTTCAACTAAAGATATAATGTATTGTTGGTCATTTGGCTACAAATTGGTATTTTTTTTCTATTCTAATATAAAGTGCATTGCTGTTTTTTTTTTAAGTTTAAAATGTGATGTTGGTAAGTTTACTATAAATATGTAGTTGTAATTTTTAACATAAAACTATATAGCTGGTCTTTTCACTATAAAAATGTATTTTTATACTTTCATAGTGATTTATTTTTGTTTGGGAATTCACGACTTGGTCATAGTTGGGATCCTAACTGGTGTTACCACCCTGGATCAGGATGGAACTAGAAACAACAGCAACTAAGAGGTGGTTACACGCTCCTCAAAACCTCAATTTTCTCGATCAGAGGCCTTGCTGTCGGCTTTTTTTTTGTTTGTTTGTTTTAACTTTACACACTAAGCAAGCCGGGAGTGCCACTAGCACAAAAGAGATTACAGAAAGTGGGAACAAGAGTAAAGAGACGTGATAGAGGAAAAGATGAAGAGACAGACGCGGAAGAGATCAAGGCATCTGGTGATGTCGATTGACATTGCATTTGAATAGTTTGAGATTATAGGTCTCAGGGAATCATGTAAGAGGAAGGGAGTTCCACAGACAGGAAGTTCGAAACATGAAGCTATTGGAGTAGAAGAGATGGGTACATTTAACAACCACAGTGAAAAGGTGGGACTGAGATGCCGACCTAGTGGCACGTTTAAATTCAGTTTGGGAACTAGCAAAAATAGCTCGTCGGAACAGTTTCCGTGAAAGTATTTGTAAAAAAGAGTTGGTGGCGACGGCACGTCTGTGACCGAGGGATTGTAAACGAGATGCCAGATCAGGTCCAATCACATTGCACATACGTCTCTGGATTTTGTCAAAGACCCTAAGACGAACAGCGGTGTCTCCAGATCATATATGACAGCAAGATTCCATGCAAGAGCGAATGGTTGATTTATAGATTTGAAGGATGTATTCGGACGAGAAAAACTTTTTAGCGCAATACAGAAACCAACTTTCCTTGTTGTATATGAAGCTATTGATTCAATGGAATTGTTCCATCACAGGTCAGCGGACAGTGTGAGAGCAAGCAGTCGCAAAGAGATGCTTTCATGGAGTTCAACATCAGTCACTCTAATGTGAGGCAGGGAGGGTTCTCTGTGTTGGGTAATAGAGAGCAGTTTTGTTTTTGTGGGATTAAAGTTAACCAGCCATTTTCTGCCCTAGTCAACAACCGTTTGGAGGCCCTTTTCGAGACCAAGGGCCATGTTAGTTTTGTCAGCGAATACAGATTTTGTATTTAGGCAGGAGTAAATAGTGGTGTCGTCTGCATAGTTGCCTACTTTGGAACTGATGACATCGGAAAGATCGTTCATGAAGATAAGAAACTGTGTAAGACCCAGGATAGAGTCTTGGTGAACACCTGCGTTCGTGAGAAATGAACTGGAGTAGAATACATTAAGGATGAGCTTCACTAGATGGTTTGACAGCAATGATTGTATTAAGTCAAATAATCGTTTGTAGTCATACCCAGGAATAGTTTTGTCAATGAATGTTTCTTTATGAGGGTACATCTTATCTCATCATTCACGTTACTGTTATTACGAAAGCTTACTAAATAAATGGCACGTGATAACAACATTTTGTATAACCACCCAACTTTAGTATTTGAATATACAAGATAGTCACATTATCATATCAGACTAATCAGGCCCATGAACACACTAGTACATTAGGTCACCTTTCTGACTCAGTGATGAACGTTGAAAAATTCAATTGTTATAGACTGAATGATCTGTCAATTTTAGTAAAGAATATTTTAGAACTTTTCCTTTTACATTTCTCTGCTAGGAAATAAATGCGTTTTAGGTTTAAATAACCAAGAAAATTAAATCATTGGTGTTGTAGAGAGACTGAAGGAAAGTTGGAATTGTTATGATATTAAATAACATGAAAAGTTTTATTGAATAACGATGAGGTGACATCCTTTTGAAAAGCGTATTCAGCCATAAAGTTGCATAAGTTCAGATTAGTAGAATATTAAATTAGAAAAAATTTCAATTTCGGCAAAATTGCGAAATTTGATCTTATGTCTGACGGCGTCAGTATGTACATTATATTGTGACCAAGTCTGGTAGACGTCTACTATGTTGGAGTAGCTTACAAACGCGTTGTTCTATCATAGGCACCCTTATAATATGCTTAGAACATTTATATTTGACCTTGCTATACATGTGCGGTACCGGGAGAAGATTAAAAGTGTTTTCAAGATTAACGTGCTAACCCTAGTTTTTGGCAAGATGTGTTTTAAAAGATTTGGGATTTTGGATATTTAGCTGATATGTACACAATAGATCAAATGTGTGGCATCCTTTACTGTATTAGAGTCATAAAAAATAGTTGACATACGAATTTGATGTCAGCCATTTTGAATTATCTTGATGTTATTTATCAACTATATTTATCAATATGTATCTATCTAACTCCCTCTCACATTTTTATCCTCTCTCTCTATTTTTCTCCTACTCTATTTATATATCTATCCACCTTCTTATTTCAG